ATGGAAGGGTGAGACTGACAGACACTGACAGGGCCCTTTCACGATGTGCTCTGTAAGAAATCACACCAGCAGCCACTACTTACCCCAAATATTAAGCTCAAGTAGGTCTGCAGACATTTTGCCAGGCAGATGCTAAATTTTGTCACAGAGGAGAGGCTGCTAAGACACGTACAAATGCAGCTCCGTGGCTCTCCGAAGAAAGCGGCATGTATTTGCATTTTTATAAGCTCTTATCATTAAATGTTTTGGGTGAGTTTTCAACCAGCTCACCAGATGCTGACTGTCCTCAGCAGGGTCTTTAATGCACCAGCTGTGTGTCTTTATGCATAGATCATTTCCATCTCCTCTGCTGAGTATTTTTGGCCACCCCTAGTGCAAAGTTTTGCTAAGTATTGCTAAGCTGTTGCTTGAAAAATATATTTTTATGATTAGGAAAACGTTATAGCTGCAAGAGCAAAAGATTTGATTTCTGGGGATTAATTAACCTTTATGTTAACAACTTTTTCATCTATTAGCCTTTTGATTTTTAATTCTATATGCACAACCAGCAGGAAAAAGCAAACAAGATGCACTCACTCAGCAATCAAATATGACATTAAAATAGTTACGTCCTACCTCCTTATCCTAAGCAAATTTATTTTTATTAAAAACTATTGGGTTTTGTTACATAATTTTATAGCATGATCATGGCTATTTAAGGGAGCTTGCTATGAAGGACAGCTCATTGTAATCCATCCATAAATCACACAGGCTTGGATGGGCCTGGTTGAGTTGTTAACCTTGACTCTCTCTTTTTAGGTCTAATCATACCCTTTGCACAACAAAACCAAATCTGGCTCATCTCTCAGTGTCAAGTTTCATCATTTTTGAGTGAAAAATGAACTTTCTGCCAAGAGGAGAGCTCAGCCTGGCTTTTTCTAAAGCTGCTGTCAAGATTCTGCTTGTTGAGCAATTGAGGCACAACCCCAGTGTGAAAAGAGCCTGGCAAATGCAGGGGTGAGAGCCTTTCCCTTTGTCCATTGATTTCCAACAGCCTGGGGAGCACAGCTGTGTGCTGTTCACATTCTCCATTTACATGTGGAAAACCAGAGACTGGGAGAAGTTCAGTCTGTGCCTCCTGCAAATTCAAAGCAACAATTCCTGGTGTGAAATGAGTCTCTCCTAAGTTCAGGCATGTCCAGCATAGAGCCAACATGTGAGCTCCCTGCCAAGGCTCTGTTTAGCAGAAATACAGCCCATATTTATCAGTTTAGGCCAGGATTTGGTTTTGTTCCCTACAAAAGGCAGTTTTCCTGACCACCATCCTGCCTTTGTTCTGCCTCCTCTGCACCAGCCTGGAGGCACCAGAGCTAAATGGAGATGTCATCCCACACCTTTCCAGGGTCAAAGTTGGGCATTGCTCTTTCTGAAAGATGAAGAGATCTGCTTAAAAAAAATAAATAAAATAAAATTGGGCTCACCCTAAGCTTGGAGCGGATTTGCATAACTCCAGAGGGAGTGAACATCCAGCTGATCTGTGAGGCTGTAATTTAGGAAGGGCCTCCATCCCCGCAGACCCAGCTTGTGTTGCAGAGCAGTTTGTGCTCATGATATGGGCTCTGATATTGGGATGTAATTGCTTTTCTAATATCCATGTATTATTTACACCATGCTACTGTTGCAAACTCCTCCTGACTCCGGGTCTGTTGTTGCTCTAATGTATTTATTGGAGCAATGCAAGGTCAGGCTAACCTCCACTGCTTGTCTGTAAATGACCCAGCAGAAACCAATAGTTTTAGAGCTGGAACACCAATGTAAGTGAGACACAAATCAGGACCCTGAAGTATTAATTTACTTTATTGCCCTATCTTTATAGATGGTTATTAAGTGCTTAACTATTAACTATTAATGTTGCTGCTTTATTTATTGCAGAGATATGTCTTAAGTGTTTCCTGGGTATCTTTTCAGGAGAAGGGCGTCAAGGGAAAACAGACCAAGACAGGCATATCAAAGATGATTGCAGTGGGCCAGCATTTGTCTTCAAATTCTGACTAGAATTGGTTAATATCTTTGCAAACTACAGTCCAGAATTCAAAATATATATAAAGGTGACCCTGCAGAAAATATTTCAGATTATTCTGATTTTTTTCAAAATGAAATTACAGACTAGAATAGCCTGAGGGGAGTGTGAGGGTTTTGTTGGCTTAAAACCTAACCCAAAATATCAATGTAGTCAGCTCTGCCATGCAAAGAGCAGCACAGGAAAATGTCGTGCAGAGACATTCCCAGACACAGCTCATAGTTTGGCCTGCTTGTATTTGAGGGGGGAATGTTCCTGCTCACCACCTACTCATTTCTTTCCTTTCTCTGAGCATCTTGTCCCTGCCTTTACCTTCAAGGACACATCCTTAAGTATTCCCCATCTCCACCTGTGCTCACCATGGAGCCCTAAGGCACCCAGGGGCAATTGCCTCTCAGAATCATGATCAGATTGTCTGATAATGGCTTGCTGATGCTCCTGTGGGATGGAAGCTGCTAAAACCCCCCCAGTTCTGGCTGTGTGAGATATTTTGTGGTGCCAGAACCCTCCCACAGCACTGGTGTGCCCATCGTGCTGGGTCACCTCTTTGGCTGTGCAGGACAGCTCCTCGTGGCCATTCCCTCACAGCCATGCAGAAACTCTGCCTTCAACAGCAAAATATCTCAGAAATGGTCCCCAAGACACTCAGCTGAGCTGGGTTTTGTGTAAATGGGGCACATTGCTCTGCTCTTTGCTGAATTCCACAGCTCCAGTTGACAATGGCCTCACTCCTTCTGTGATGGAACACCCTCTTCACCCCACCAATACCCCTGCCTGGTTTGAATAAGGGTAGCCCAAATATTTTTATGCTTTTCTGTCTTTTTGAGAAGTTTTCTCTGGTGTTAAGTATGTATCCAGGAGATGTAACTGCTGCCAGATCAAAGAGACACCAAATAAACCACATGAAAAATTATAAAAAATTCACAAGCACAAATTTTATTATTTAATGAGGATGTTAAAGTAGCAGATTTTCCTCTTGCTATCACAGTCAATGAGACTGATATGAAAAACACCTAAAAAAGCAAAACCCAACCCAACTCAAAGGACAGCTGCCAGATAGGAAATCCAGGAGGAGAAGGATGAGGTGGGCAGGCTGGCACTGGTTTCATGTGCTTGGGAGCTGCTCCATATGCTTGGAGCATATTTGCATCTAAAGGAATGGAAAGACCTTTTCCTCCATATTGATTATTCCTGTGTTTTGGTTTTCCCCTCCACATCTTTCACATATGCTGGGTTTCCATTTGATAAGCTCTGGCTCATTTATTCACCTTTCAGCAAACCCCCTTGACTCTTTTTCCCTGCCCAACACTTGAATCAGCCCACACCTTCTTTAGCTGATTAAGTTATTTTCCACTTCACAGTTTATTCCCTAACAGACTAACTTGCAAATATATGAGAGCTGGTGCATTTTCACTCCTTGAAAAAGTAGTCAGTAATCAGAAAAAGAATTCATGTTAGTTCTCTCTATTTACAAAATCCACATTGCAATATATCTTATTATTTATTAACTCCAAAGTCTGACTCAGACTGACTCTTTCAGTAGTCTCCCACCACCCCCTTAAAATACTTTATTTTGGAAATAATGAGCTTTGAAATTCTGACACAAAAAGTCTCCAACACTTTGTTCCCTCAGCTCTCTGAAGCAGCTGAGTTCACTAACCAGCTCCATTAGTTGTTTCAAGCTCTGTCCTTTTGAATTTACCAAAGCCAGCAAAGCAAAGACCACTTCAGTATGTGCTCACCTGAACACAGGCACAGAGCACTGGGGCAGGCAAACAGAAATGATGCCTGAATTCAGATATTTCTCTGAGGGATGGTGTGCTGCAGGGTGAACACCGTGGTTGGTGTTGTGGGCTGGCAGTGCCACCCCAGCGAAGGCTTCAGAACCTTGAGACCCCCCAACAGCCCCTGTGACAGGGCTGGTAGGTTTAATGCCTTCAAAGTCACTCATCAAACCCCAAAGTTTGCTCTTTCAGAGAGACCCGGTGATGTATCCTTTTGTTGGTGGCCAGATCTTCACAAGAGCAGCTCTGTGATTATGCAGCGTTTTAATTACAGCAAAAACTATTTGTTTTACAATAGAAAGTGCAGCTGGTGAGTTGTGACCTGAGGAAGAGCAGCAGATGGTGTCCTCCACGCAGGGTTTCTCCAGCACATTTTCCTAAGAATTCCTGCTCTGACCTGATTTTCTCCCTACTGCAAAGCAGCAGTGACCTGCCCTTTGGTCAGGAGTACAAGCTGGCCATGGTGTACAGCTCTCCCCAGTCGTCCTTTGTTCCTTTTCCCAAGCAGAAAATGCTGGGGAAAGAGGGAGGGAATCTGTGCTGAGGTCTGCATGCTGAAAAGCATAAAAAAACTGTAAGGTCCATTTGTCTTCATGACTGAATATCCTCAGTTAAATATGATTGACTCCATCAAACAAACCCGGTCTGTGCCTTGAGGAGGGGATTTGACTCTCCTTTGATGGTGAAAGTCAGAAACTGCAGGTTTTCTCTACCTTTGTACAAGGGGATAAAATTGATCTACTCTCTGTTGTATGGAGAGAGTCAAAGTGAATTAAGTGGGAATTCTTGGGCGAACCTGCAATGGCTGAATTAGCGGACAATTCTTTTTCTTATCATTATTATTATCAATAACAACAGCAACAATAAATAATGATAATGATGTAAATGTTAATGTTAACAACAACAATAATGTTAATGTTAATGTTAATGTTAATGTTAATAATAATAATAATAATAATAATAATAATAATAATAATAATAATAATAATAATAATAATAATAATAACAACAACAACAACAATTTGGTATAATTTCCTTGACATCTCTGAGAAGTCAATAGGTCCTTGGTGGCTTCATATTTTTTTAAAGCCCTCATTAACTCAGTCAGGGCTCCCAGCTGACTTTGGCATGTAAATACCCCGACTCCCCTCCTGGCTGAACTCCTTTGCTGAGGGCACCTGAGACCTTGGGAAGAGCTTTTTCCTCTCTCAGGTGGCTCCATTTAGGAACCTGCACCCAGGAGCTGAAGGAGGGAACTGGCTCAGCACTTCCAGGACAAGAGTGGGCACCATGTGGCTGGGGAAGAGGCTGCAGTCTGCTGGTAGGGCAGTGGTCTTCACTTCTCTGTCTTTATTACCCCCAAATCTGTGAGTGCACAGACCCCCTTCCCCTCCAGCAAATGAGATGAAACAACATTCAGTTAGAATCAGAAGCTGTAATATGATTTTTGTTTTCCTGCTGTAATCAGAGAGGAAAAAAATACCTTCAGAGTCTTTTATCTCTATAAGGAGAAAGAAGTAAAAATATGCAGAGAAAAAGCCTTCAGGCTGAAAGGATGCAGCAAACTGCCATAATAGCTTCTGTTTACTTTGAGCCTAATACTGATATTTTGTAGACAGGTAAAAAAGCTACACCGGCACCCATTGTTGTTTGTTTTGTTGCTTTTTTTTCCTTTTTTTTTTACCCAAAATCTCAAACCTTATGTACTTTTTATATCATCCCCTGCAGGAGGTGACATCAAAAGTGAGTGCTGCTGTTCTTTGGCACAGGTGGAAGATGCCTGTAAGAGCATGCATAAATTGGGGTTAAGAGCAGTGGAGTGCCCTGTTCACTCCCTGCCACAGCTCCACTCTCAAAGGAGCTGAATTTACATAAGTTAATAATGAGGAACTAAAAACTTAAATGATGATTTGGTAGCTTATGATTATAATAAGCTTCTCCAAATCCATATGGCTGGGGGGGCATAGGTTAGGCTGCTGCAGCACGAGACAGGAGGCTTATTAATATTTTAAATGAAATAATGCAGACTTGAAGATTTGGGGTGGGGGAGAGGGGTTGCTGACCACATGATCTTTAAAGGTCTTTTTTGACCCAAACAATTCAATGTCCTGACCCTGGCAATGAGGTTTGAGCTGTATTGAAAATCTTGATGGCAAAATGGTAGATGGTCAGGATATTTTCCTGCTTTATTTCTCTTTATTTGCACATGAGGTGGTGTGAAAGCAAATCTTCTCAAAAGACCAAGAGCAGTTACACTTTCACAGGCTCTTTATTAATTATATATTTTAATTATTGTGCTTTGTAGCATCAGAAAGAAAGAAATTAGGGTCTTTCAAATAGATGCATGATTTCTCCTTATGTGTTGAAGATCATGTACAGCTGAAACCTGGAGCAGTTCCCTGTTCTTTGAGCAGCTTTACCATCACTACAAAAATCCCTGTTTTGGACCCTGGGGTCTCAGGCTTAATTTTAAGCCTGTCCTGGGTGTGCTGCTGGACTGAACCCAAGCAGGGGATGGAGGATGCCCAGTGAGGCATGGCCCTAATTACTGATCTCTGAGGCAGGGATTTTTGGGTGGGTTTTAAACATCTTGGAGACTGTTGTGATAAGGGATAAGGAGGGGGAAGGTTTGTCCTCAGCTCTGCCCAGAGCCCCTGAGGAGTGCACAGGCTGCTCTTCTGGTGACACTCGTGGGCACTGGTGGCTGAGGAAATTTTCTAAAAAACCTATTTAGGTGCACTTCTTTAGCCCTGGTGAAAACAGCACAAGATTTGTCTCAAGGTAGGACAATGAGAGTTGGGAAATTTGGCCTTGTGCAATTTCTTTGTGAAGGGAATAAAAATAAATTCCATGAGTGCTTTCTCTACAAGGATCAGAATGGGAATTGGCTCTCAATCAGATATGCCTCCTAGACTATAGACACACATTAATAAAATTTCTCTCTACATGTCCTCTTGTAAAGGTGCCCTTTATATATGGGGCTTAGTTTGTTTGTTTTGCTTGGGGTTTTCTGTTTGGTTTTGGTTTTTTGGTTGGTTGGTTTTTGGTTTTCTCTGTGTCAGGTTATTTCATCTGCTTTATATTGTGTGTCTGCTTTGATATTTCATGTCTGTCCTTTGTGTGCTGTGGCCCACTGCAAAGACAGTGTTAGCTGGGCTGGATTACTTTTCTCCTTTCTGTTTGTCCTAGTGCTTCAGATACTTGTTTACAGTCTGTGTACTGTGCATATATATTTGCACATTACCCCAGCTCTCCCTGCTCCTGCCATGGTGTCCTTTTCCCTTAGCAAATGGAAGTCACTGCCATCCTCCTCTTTGTTTTGGAGTGAGTTCGGCTGTGTAGCATCACAATCATCACTTAGATGGATATTGAGGGTTGGTCTTGAGACAGTAATTTCAGAAATCTAATTTCAAAACTAAGAGAGTGGAAAGAAAATCATCACCTGCTTGCTTTGTGGCGGCTGGTGCTGCAACACAGAGCAGTGGGAAGGGTTTGCCCTGGAGAAAAGGAAGCTCAGGGGTCTCTTATCACTCCCCACAACTCCTGACAGGAGTAGGGGGGGGGTCAGGCTGTGCTCCCAGGGAACAGGGACAGGAGGAGAGGGAAAGCCCTCAAATTGCACCAGGAGAGGTTTAGATGGGATATTTGGAACAATTTCTTCACAGAAAGTGTTGTTTAGTATTGGAACTGATGGCCCAGGCAGTGGTGGAGTCCCCATCCCTGGAGGGATTTAAAAGCCGTGTGGAGGTGGCACTTGGGGACACGGGTCAGTGGTGGCCTTGGCAGAGCTGCGGGAATGGTTGTACTCAATGATTGTGAATGATTCTGTGATTTCTACACTTGTGCTTCAGTGGGTAAAGTATTCCAGGGCGGCTGCAAATCCTTCTCAGGAGTGAAAGCCTTCTGAGTGCGTTGGGGTTTGAGTTAGCTGCTTTTTGGCTCTTGATCTACATTTTACAAAATGGAAAAAAAATCCCTCTGCTGATCTGTCATTACATGACAAAAAGCACGTCTACAAGTGTGAAAGCAAGTTAACCACCAACTCCTACTGTGATAGGACCTGTACCTGTGGAAACAGAGTTCAAACAATAATGGTGAAAAGCTTGGAAATATCCCTGAACAGAAAAGTCACACACCTGGGTTTACCTCTGTGTGGTCTCTGTGCCAGTGCCAGCCTGGGCACCCAAAGCCAGTCTGGCTTCAATTTGGCACACGCCAATACAAAAGGTGTTGTTGGAAGCTGAAGCCAGGAGATGATTTCTGGGGTGGTGAACCTTTATTGTAACTTTATTTATGTTTATTTATGAACCTTTATTACAATAAAGGTGGTGAACCTTTATTGTAACTATGCTGAATTCTCCAGTATTGGAAGCTTTGTTTCTAAAACCCCCAACATTTCAGTGTTGCCATCCAGTCTCAGCAGTCTCAGGCTGATCAGCAGGACGTGGAATCACCAGACTAAAACAGAGCTGTTTACCATGGGAAGTGTGAATAGGTATTAAACTTGGTTTGCCCTTCGCCTGGGCTGTAACAGAATTTATTGGTTGTTTTGCAGGAGGGAGCTAGACAGGTTTTGTCCTGAAGTGCTGCAACCCGGACACAGGTTGCCCAAAGAAGCTGTCCCATCCCTGGAAATGTCCAAAGCCAGGTTGGATGAGATTTGGAGCAACCTGGGATAGTGGAAGGTGTCTCTGATCATGGCCCATGTTCCCACCCAAACCAGCCTGGGATTTTGTGACCTGGGGATTTGCTTCTTGCCCTCTATCACCGGAGGGAGAGCATTTGTGCATCTGTGCTGGAGTCACCTATGGACAAATAACACAGAGAGAGCTGGGAAAGGGGCTAAGGATTCATGAGGGTACCTGGGGAGGGAGCTGGTGTTGTGCATTTAGGAGAGCTTTATTTGCATGTGCACAGCTACTTACAGCCATATTCAGATAAGGTGTGGGAAGCAGTGAGTCCTGCTGGAAATAACTAGATCAAGCCTGACAGCCTGAGAGTAAATCCGTGGCACAGACAGATAAGGGGTATTGCTGTTTCCTGGGTTAGGTCCGGATCCCTGTAACTCTGACAGATTTTCTATTTTTTGTGTCAGCTTAATAGAAAGTTTTGTATTTATTTGCTCTTATCTGAGCAAGTTCAGCTGCAGTTATTTCACTTTTATCCTTTCCCAGACACACGTACATACACTTGCACTCTTGTTTCTTGGCAGCTTGCAACAACATCTCTAATCCTCTTTGGCAGAAATCTTTTAAATTAATTCTCTTAGCAAAAAAAGGAAAAAATTAAAAAAGAAAAATTGTTGGTGATAATTTTACGGCTGATACAAGAAAAGAGGTGAACAAATATCTGAAAGAAGAAAGAAGTTTGGCCAGAAGTCGAGTTTCACTACATCTTTAGAGTACTTTGTGTGCTGCAAAGCCCTAATACCTCTTCAAGATAAGGAGCATTGGGTGGGTGAGGATGGTATGATGAAAGATAGACAATGCTACCAGGGTGACTCAGAGATTTGGTGTGAATTAAAAGAGAAATAAACCCATTCAGCCTCTCTGTGTTTAAGCAGACTCAGAGGTACCACTTGAAATCCCATGTCAGAGTTTGGATAGGGCTTGTAGGATTCACAGCATTTCCAATCTGTAAAAGAACTGCAGAAGTGTTTTTTTGTTTCCTTCTTAACATCAGGTCCTGGAAATTCTGCCCTGTTGTGAGCTTTCTGGGAACGATTAGTGTTAGAAAGGGTGAAAAATTAAGAGGACACAATTAAAAAATTAAGAGGACAGTATCGCAAAAACAAAACTTTGTTGGGGTATTTTTGTTTGTTTGTTTGTTTAGGGATTGTGTGCGCGTGTGGTCTTTACTGTTGTTGTTGGGGTCTTTGGGGTTGTTTTCTTATTTTTATTTTTTATTTCAATTTTAAAGGAAATAATGCCCCAGCAGCTCTGCCCCTGCTTTTAGAGCTCTCCATCCTCTCTGATGACTCGCGTGTAAGGTTTGCAACTGTGGTTCATCGATGGCTGGTGCATTTTGCTCAACACCCAAACCTTGGGGGTTTTAGTGCAGTTGTGGCTGGTGACCCAACGACTGCTGAAGCAGGACATGTGATGGTGTCAGGAGGTGTCCCCAGCTCGGCTGTGCTGACCTGATGGCCGTGCTTCTGCCCTTTTACTGTTAGCCCTGTGTTGGGGAAGATGAAACGAGAAAGCCTCATAAATATGATTGCCTGGCAAAAGATGTTGAGAATACAGAAACTATAAGTGAGATTGAAATGAAAGCAAGCTTTGAGATCCCTTAGTTACAGAACAATGGGAAAACAATGGTGTGGCTGACTGAAGGTATTCC